ATAGGGTCTAACCCAGTGGAAATTGACCTTGACTTGCATACCAGTACTTTCAAGTTCGAATCCCTGTATACTGTGTGAGAAAATCTCCTCCTTCCTAACTTTGACTAAAGAAGAAACATGTTACATAAGCGATGAAAACAGCATCAATCTTACATCCACGCAGGCAACACCTTCAATACACATTAACCTTCCTACATCCTTTTTGAAAGAGGCAAGACAAGACAAGTACAACCTTAGTTCTAGATTCTAACCAATCTGCAATGCGTGTAGTGAGTAATGAGTATCACATGGCAAGCTTTGCAACGGGATGCTTTGCCCATGCTGAAAGTAGCTCAAGGCATCAAAATTTCAAGAAAGCAGAATTCTCACATCTGCTAATTGCTCTAAAAATGTGAAAAATGAACAAAAATGCAGAGCAGTTCCACATATAAAAAGAAAATAAAAAAGACTAGAATTTCTAACTCTCAGAAACCTGGCAACAACTTTCAACACAAAACAAGGATATAGAACCAAGATGTAAACCAATAACACAATCCCCTTAGGAGATGAAGGACAAAACTAATCAACCTCCATACCGGAGGTGACTTCATCTAAGATCGTTTGAAGCTCCCTCGCTCTTTGCCTAGTCAGTGCAACACAATCCTGCACCACAGAGAGCCTTCCTGTTAAGTATCTGAATCATGACTTCATTGGTACTTTTCTTAGGCCACAGTTTTGTTCTTATTAACATATTTTGGTGAAGTAATACTTGATTGAAAAAAAAAACGTATTCAACAAAATATGTAGATAAAAAATGCAGTTTATCTAAACCGCTCCACTAGCATCTTTCTGTGTTTGCAAACTGGAACAATTATGTAAAACAAATGAATAATAACTCACCCAGATAGTTTGATCATAATTTAGCAAGAGAGCATTTCTTATAAGTTTCAAGCCTTTGAAAGTTAAAGCTTTTAAATGTTACCAAGTTTTAGATTATTGTTTCAAACTAAAAAAGGGTTGGAACTTTACACTCTTTTCCTCTTCTATTTTTTCTATCGAGGCACAGAATTGATGTCAAAAACAGTTTTTAAAACCTTAGTCCTGGATGTAATATGAACATGAAAACCAGCATCCAATATAGTGATATGCATTTTCTTCTTTACTTTCAGTTATCATGGTTGAGCAGATAGACTGCAGGAACAAACTATGGAATTTGTAGTTTTAATCTCCTACCACGTGTAATTTGCAGGGTACCATCAAAATAATAAGTTGAGGATGAAAACTAAGAATTGACCTGGATAGCTGATGTATAGGCAAGAACAGGTCCACCTGGCTTGTAAAGAGACACAAGTTGACCAGATGAATCCAAAACCACAGTTACAAGAGTTTCCATTACAGACTCTTCCTCTGCGGTAGGGTCAGCCAAGATGTAATTCTTATGAAGCAAGCATGTTAATGAAAATGGAATACTGCTTAATGTGAGTTTCCTCTTCCCTTTATTGACTGGCTCCTTTCCTCCATGATCTCCAGACAAAACTACTACTTTCCCATCATCATTCATAGAAACTACAGGAATCTGCACTGCAAGGCATGAAAGTTATATGACCAGAACGATGCTGAACAACACAGTTAGTGTTCAATTGCAATTCTAAGCATGACTTACAGTTCTTCAAAAAAAAACTAAATTAAACTTCTTTTTCTAGCATACTAAGTGAGTACAATCGTTTTAACAGCAAAATAAATGTCAAAATGGAATTGTAAATATTAGAGAAACATAGATTTAATCTATGTTCTAAAATCAAACAGAAGTAGAGGCACAATTTTTACTGTACAGTACTATAGATGCCAAAATAAAACTTGAATTAATTATAGGATGACCCAAAATGCTCTAAAAGTTCGATTTACTCTACAAATCAATTATATTTTTTTATATATATTTAAAATAGCATGTAAAATGTTTTGTTTTTATATTTCATATTGAGCAAGAAAAGATTTGCCGATCCACACAGAGAGAGAATTTAAAACAGGCATTTATGAATAAACATAAGCTTCAATGGGACTTGATTAATTTCCAGATGCATTTCTCAAATGCATATCTTTCCTTCTTTCCTTCATTTATACATATATTTAGGTTGGTATAAAAGCTGATAGTTTGAATAATATACTGGCTCTAAGTGCTTAATGGTGGGGTAGGTTGGACTTTGGCAACTATGGTAATTCCATATGTTGTGTTTGCAGTACCAGAACTTTATTTTACATAGCCAACTCTTTAAACAGGGACAGAATGACAGTACAGGATACCACATGATGGGATGGCTGTAACACTTACAGTGAGAAAAGGCAGCAACCGCTGACAGCAAAGCAGCATCGAAAAGAGCACCATCAGCATCCAAACAATATATGTCCTGCAGTAGACAAATATATATATCAATATGTATAGGGAGCTTCTTAAGAGGGATCCCTTTTAGTTTTACTATTCACCAAAAAGGATCCCAGGTGGGTGCAACCATCAATGCAATTCGATAATCCAGACCGTTTTATGACCTCATTTAAGGATAATCTTTATTATAAAAAATAAAAACACCGAAATTGGAAATCATTTAGTCACAAAAAATTGACAAACACAAAGTTTCCAATATAACAACAAATATCTATGATGACAATGATGATCAAATGGTTAAACGTTTCCGACTTTGCTGATTTTTTGCAGGGATTATTTTTAAATTGGGATCTATAAACTAGACGGTTTGGATCATTGAACCACATTGTGTAGTTCCCAAATAATGAGACCCTTCTTTACTATTCACCAAAAGCGATCCATGTGAAAAAAAAACACACTAAAAATGATTGCCATAGGCACTGACACCTATGAATTTTCCAAGTTTCCAAGTAATTACCAGGTAGGCCATCCAAGCAGCCTTTCCGCTGATCAAGGATAACTCCTTCAAATTAATCATGCCACAACTGCAACAACCAAGATAACTGGTAATTTCCCAAACTGAAAACATCAAATGAAGCATCAACTTTAAATAGGGCAAAGCCAACTTTGATGAGAGTTTTCACCATATAAAGATATCGACACCAACATAAAACGCTTCTGGGTTCAAAAATGGAAACCAATATAACTAAAGCCAGTGTCCACCAAAAAGAAAAGTGGAAAAGTTGATTTCTGAATACAAGGTTCCTTTCAAAATGTTAGTTGGGATCCTCACGAGTATAGCAACTTTAGTAGGATGAGTTGTTTTATACTAGTAAACAAAAAAGTCCTACAAACAATAAGAATTGGAACACAACTAAACCATCTATGATATACTAATGTGGACAGAACTAACAAAACTGACAAATTCAACTAAAGAAACTTCATGTAGAACTGAGAAACAAAGAACAACAAGATAGACATTTGACTTGCCTTAAAATAGTGTCAGATAACTGCTTCGACACCACAGGTGCTGCCTCAGCTGGCCTGCCAGGCCTAACAGTTGGGGAGCAAATTGGAGGCATGTGGAAATCAATTGCTGAAAATATTAAAATTCGAAGTGTGGACAGCCAGTTAAATAAAAGAGAACAAGATCATATAGTTGAAAGAAGCAACAGAAATTTATCAAGTAGTGCAAGTCAAACCTATGCAACCCTCATCCGGTGACTCTTTTGAAGGGGTCATGACCTCCATTTTTATAGCAGCCAACATTCTCTAAATCCAAAAAAACCTCATCAGTCACAAGACCATATATCTCTTTTATACATGTAAAAGACACATAAATAGAGATAAGCAATTACAGTTGAACCAATCTTTACTAATGCTGAGCCATCAGCAGATGCAACAGCCCCTACATAAAAACGAAAAAACATTCAGGTTACATGGCTAAATAAAGTTAAAATTCATAGTTGCATAAACAAAGTAAAAACTAACGAAATGAAGAATGGAGAATTCCATATTATTGATTCTAGTTCAGGCTTTAGCTAACCAAGGGCTGAAGAAGTCTCTCTAGCTTCGGCTAGTGACCTGCCATCAGGTCGTGTAGATTTAACAAGATGAGTCTCGAAAAAACGAAGAGGAAACAGGCGTCTAAAAGCATCCACATCCATTTCTGACAGCACATCCCCAGAAGCATCTGGCAACACCATTCTCTTCTCTTGTTTAGCTTTCTAACGATGTGTCTTGCTCTACAAAGTAAAGATGAATGCTTTCAACATAGAACGAAATCAACAGTTCAACCACAAAGATATGAATTGCATTTCAATATACAGCGACTACTGCTTATCCATACAAATTTGAGTTTGAGATTTAAGAGACGCCTGCATTAACAACCATATTGGATACAAGAATGTTTACCACAACACTAGACTTCAGGATTGAATATTAAGGGGGAGAAGAAAGGACTAAAATTGATAATCCCCTTTTTTCTATTTCACAAAAAGGAAAAAAAACCCAGCAGCAAGCTTCCAGCTCGTAAATAATACCTTGCCTCCACACCCCTAGTGACGAATTTGAAGCCCCTGCTTATTACAAATGGGAGATGGGCTATTTTTTTTCCAAGGGGAAGAAAAGAACACAGAAACCATACACCAGCGCTTATTCACAGTCATTGATTGTTTTCATTAATTTCCAGTAGAACAAAAGCAATGATTTTAGAAAAGACGGCAAACCCAAAAAACTTTTCCTTTCCTAACAACCCACGAAAAAAAATTAGAGAAAAAAAACAGGAAAACAGAAATAAAAGCTTCAATGTGGTGTAGCAGACATTGCACATGTGTTTCTATGCTTGAATTGAAGTATGAGATATTCAGAAAACAAAGAGAGAGACAGGCAGTATGATCATACCTGTAGAAGCTTCGAAGTTGAGAAAGAGAGAGAGAGACTGAGAAACAGAAAATAAGCAAAAAGGGGTGTGGGCGGGTCAAATAAATGGGTTAGGTTTTATGGGACCATGCCCATTTGAGGTACGGGCTTTTATAACCCATACCTGCCATGACCCGTTATCTTTGTCTTTTTTGTCTCCCAAGTTAAAAAATTCTAGAGGGAGAAATAAGCATGGCGTGCAGTGCTTCAGCTTGCCAGTCAAATTGCTACAAAACCCAGCAGGAAGAAGAAGAAGCTGTTAAAGACAACAGCAATACCAATTCATTTGCTGCTAATAATAGCAGCAGCAACAACAACAGCAACAGTGGTTTGTGTCTGAAGTGCAAGGCCAACCAACCTATCTCTTCCAGTAGCGACGGTGGTGACGATGCACGATTTTGCATCGATTGCTTCCGCGGCAATCTCTTCGGGAAGTTCAGGTTAGCTGTGACCTCCAACGCCATGATTGCTCCTACTGATAATGTCCTCGTTGCCTTCTCTGGTGGCCCTTCTTCCAGGTCCGTCTCTCGATCACTCTTGGATGTTCATTTGATTCGATTTTAATCACAAATTGTGCTTCATGTAGTAAGAGAACGAAGAAATTTGATCAATTTATAGATACCCTCTTTCTGAAATGAGTCGAATTCTATGTATGTGTAATGAATTTTGTGCATAAGGTGGATTATAGAATGTTAGAAAGTGCCTTTCCGCAATTTAAAAAGATATCTACTGAAACGTTGTTGTATGTAAATTTCGGACTTGAGATTTTTTGAAATACGGAAAAAAAATGTTATTTTGGTTTCAGGGTTGCCTTGCAGTTTGTACATGAGATGCATAGTAAAGCGCAGAAGAATTTCGATGCATGTAGGGATAGATCGTTGCCAGTTTTCGGTGTTGGAGTTGCATTTGTTGATGAAAGTTCTGTTTACTCTGTCCCCTATAATGAAACCGACAAAGTAATTGGAGACGTTAGATTGATAGTGGAAAATCTAGCCCCGCCATCAAAGGAGTTGTATATTGTACCTATTGAAAGTGTCTACTCTTCAGATTCTGGTGATGGAAGGGAGAGATTAAAGAAGTTACTGGATGCTGTTGGTGATGCAACTGGGAGAGAAGATCTTTTATTACATCTCCGCATGTTGGCCTTGCAATAGGTTCAGATCTTGATATATATATATATATATATTTCAAGTCAAAACATAGAATTAAGGGCAGCAAAATTAATTTATGCAGAATGTTCTGTTTATGGTGCAGGTTGCCTCTCAAAATGGATACAACAGACTTCTACTGGGGTCATGCGTATCGAGGATTGCCTGCCATGTTATTTCAGCCACTGTCAAGGTTTTTTCTTAGTGTCTTCAGTTGAATGCTCATTTCCCTGAAGATAAAACTGCTTACTATCTCTAGTGAATGTATTAGATTCTTTTACTAATTCATGATATTTGTAATGAATGTTGTGGATTATAATATACATTGCCTTGACTGCATTTGATTTGAGAGATAGTTTTGTCCCCAAGAAAATGGCTTTTAAACCGTTAATGACTGGTAATCCTGTACATGGATCAATGAGATAACTGGCTAATTACTGGTATTTGGTTACATTAATCCTTTTCACGGGAATCTAGGTTTTGCTTCAGCAATTTTGTTACATACATTTGCGACTCTGTCTTTTGGAATATCAGTTGCACTTAACACTCTAGCAAGGTGTTGTTTATGTCGAGATTATTTCATCTTCTCTGATGTCGAAGCTGTAAACTGATTTCTCCTCTTCATTCAAACAATATTTATGAGTAACTCTGAGTTATTATCAATGAACCTGGAAAAATATCATCTCAGATAATAGATGTTGTGACAGGAATGTAGCAACGTGCTCCTTTATATGATACCTTTTTTCCATGGAAACCAACTGTCCACCATTGCATTTTATTCAAATTTTAGTCTGAATTTTGTAGGAAGGTCACATGATTTGTGGAATGAAAGGCCATTGGTATCAATGGGGTATTTTCTCAAGTTTATGTTGAAGCTCGAAAGGCATTTTGATATATCTTATTTGTACTTGATTTTAACAGGGCCAAGGATATTCTTTACCAGCCGATGTACAGTATGTTGATGCAAGGTGGGAGATCCCAGTTGTGCTTCCCCTTCGTGATTGTCTTGCCAAAGAGCTGACCATGCTTTGCCGCCTTGATGGGTTTGTAATTTATGCCATTTTGGTTTAGCTTCATAGAGAATTTTGTTTTCCTTACTGAATTATGTCTGATCTCTCATCTTGCCAGGGCAGTCTAAAAACTGTGGAGTTGATAAGAAGTCCTTGCACTGGCATAAATGGCTTGGTCTCATCATTCGTGACACTTTTGCAGGTACAAAGTGGGCCCAGTTTCTCTTATCATTTATGACTGATCGAAAATATTTGTTAGAGAGCAGCCTTGGAGATCAGCTTTTACTAAGAATAACTTCACTAGTAAAGTTAAGTATGCACTTGAAGAGCAATTATTGCTTTGTTCTTCAACAAGATGGGAGGGTACACAATTAAGGGTTAATGATTGTTTAGCTAATTGTTGTCTTATGTGGATGCAATTTGAAAAAGGCATCACCAAAAGTTGATAAGGTAAGTTTTAAAGGTTAAAATTGTGCAACATTTGAAAACAACTTGCTTTTTGCATAAATGTGGTCTTATGGCTAAAGTAAATTTTCCTTTAGTTAGAAACACATATATTAGAGGCAGTAGTTTTACCTTGAAGTTTCTTTCAAATAGAACTTGAGAACAAAAGCATGTATCAATACCATTCTTACTCCACAAGTAATTCCCTTTGGTTAAATACACATATAAAGAACTTGATGGGCAAGTCAAATTGAACTTTTGTTTTCCAGGAAGAAAATCCTTCTCGAGAGTGCACAATTATGAGAACAGCTGGAAAGCTTATCCCATTTCATTTCAACAAAATTGAAGAGATTGATGACTCTAATGTTCTTTTGGCAACTCGAAGGCGTCAGAAGAGATATAACCTTAAACCTAATGAATCTTTTTCCTCCGAGTCGTTCTGCTTTATTTGCAATAGCCCACTCAGCAGATCTGACTTGCTAAGTTTGAAGAACCTGGAGAGTCACAAAACAAGTTCTGTTTGCTGTTCAAGCTGCCAGTTCCAAATACTTCCCCAAGACCCCTCATCAGTAAATGAGTTGTATACTCTTTTACCTGAGCAACTGTTTGCCCGAGCAAAGCATGAAAACCTTGACCATTACAGTGCCCTCAGGTGAAATACTACACTTATTAATCATGTACGATGTTTACCTGCTGGCTTCGGTTTTCAAAATTCCTTAGAAGCTATGAAGAAACCTTGTTCTGGCTGTGGGTTTAATTAAGCACATGCACTTCTTGTGTTAAACCCAAAATGACGAAAACTATAGGACAACTAGATGAACTTAAAGTTGATTATGTCTGTCATTTTGTGCCACAAAACTTCAAACCAAAATTTCAAGATTATCAGAAACTTATGGAATTGGCATTCTCTAGAGGATGCCATCTGGATGCCAGTCTACCATTGAATAGTTGCATTGCGATTATGTACAAAACATTTGACTGACCTCTTTTGGTCATGTATGGTCAATTCAATTATTTGTATCCTTTGTGTAGCTAAAGAGAAAAAAAAAATAGAGAGAGAGAGAGAGAAACCTACAATCGTAACTCAGCCTTTTCCCTATTGCTTTATGTTTTCTTTCAGGGAACAAATACAAGATTGCTTGCTTTCAGAAGGTGAAGATGAAACTTGAGTCGGCTCACCCATGCTTGGGATCTCAATTATTGAAGCTAGTAATAGGCACTATTTCAATTTAGTCCTTCAGATTCTTTCTAAAGGATGGTGTTAGGATTATGGGCCGGTAGTGGACTTGCGATGCCAACAGCTAATCACTAAAACAGCATGCAATCAACTTCTGGTCTTTGGACGACTTCCTGCTGTCCTAATTGTCTAACATGGTTTCGAAATAGCGATCATTGATTCTGTCTTGATGGTGGTATTTATGTTGTGTATCAGAAGTTGCAAAGTTGAACTTGGTTCAGTGAAATTCAACCTGGCTTGAAAATTATTAGATTGTTTCTGCTTGATGTGCAGAAAATTCAATACTCTGTTTTATTCTGGCATGATATGCATGAGAAGAAATTGTGAGTAAATTGTGTTGAGGAATGAGTGCAAGTCGAATGGCTGCTATGATAGTGGTAGGATTCTCCAATTCTTATGAACAGAGTCTAGGGTCCATAAGTTGTTTGTGCTAATGTATTTGACAAGTGGCCCAAGCCAATGTACGCAAGTAGTTAGGGCTACCTGGCAGCTTCTAGGGCTTTTGTTTACCTTGTGGGGGACTATGTTGCTATGAGTAGCCCTCCCTCACTGGAGGCACTCATTCTCTTTGCTAAATTCTGGAGTGAGGGTGTCATATATGGATTCCTCGTGCGGACATTCATATTAGTCACATGATCATTTTATTAAACTTAAGTGAAGTTACTATTCAAAGGAATCATGCGGCTAGTATTAAGGTTCACATCTATGATCCATATATGGCACCTTCACCATAGAATGACTCCATTCTTGTTTCCTCGTTTTTATTTTAAATTATCAAAAGGCTTCAAATGTCCATTCAAAAATTCAATAGAATGGGGTACGGCTGCTCTGGTAAAGAAAAAACATAAAACAAAGTAAATTGTCTCCTGTCTACAAGGTAGACGGGTAGAAGTGAAACTAGGTTTTCTATAATTAAGCTTCTAAGGTAACTGAATATAGACTAGTTTCTACGTTCTACCTATTTGATCCATCAAAAATCACGATAGGATCTGTTTTCATCTGTTTCCTAGTTACATTGTGATCTATCCTTTTTTTTAAGTACAAGCGATAGTCTAAATTGGTGGGGAGGGAGTTTCTCACACACACACAACTAAGAGCATCTCTAACAGACTCTTTATCCTCTCATCCCTAGCTACTTTGGCTAAAAAGAAGGAAAATCCTCCTCCAACTACCTACTTGGCTCTCTATTTTGGAGAACCAACTTTTGGCTTTCTACATGTAGGGAGGAGGAGAGAGAATTTGGCTAGGAGGAGAGAGAAAAAGGAAGAGAGAGAGAGAGAAAGAGATAATGACATTTGAGAGGTTGGTGGGGTTGAGTTTCTATTTATTTATATTTAAATATATTTGATTTGCAAGAGAAAGAGGGAGAAAAAGAAAAAGAAAATAATTAGAAAATATTTCAGATAGGCCAAAATAGAGAACATTGCTGGAGGAAACACATTTTAAGTGGTTTGCTATAATAGTTTTCTAGCTATTTTAACTGGAATTTGGCTAAAATTTGGAGACACTCCTGGAGATGCTCTAAGATGCCATAGGGGTTCGAACTTGATACCTTTGGCCTGCAAATCAATGCCTTTTTCCACTGGGCTCTATTGGCCACGTTGTGATCTATCTTAATCTTTATTAATTAGTTAGAAGTTAACAAATCCAAATAAAAGCAAGACACGTGGACCAATATTAATGAGACAACTGGACCGATGACAATCAGCAAAGAAATAGGCAATGTAATATCGTCATTAATTTAGTTGGATGACATTAACATAAAACAAGACAAACTGCCTTTAATATTTAGAAACTAACATATAGACACTGCTTCCTCCTTTCTGCAAATTACAGTTTGACACATATGCAAAAATAATTCATAAAAAACACAAAAAGAAAAATATATGCACACATGCCAAACTGTGATTGGCAGGAAAGTAGGAGTTCCTACTTTTAGGGAAGGAGACAAGTATTTTCCCTAAAAGCACTTCCACCAGTTAGCCCCTTGCCATGGCAAGGGGAGCCCTAGGGCAGTTACTATTCATGTGAATAGTGCCTGCCCTAGCTCCCCCCCAGCAAATGTGTGTTTCCAGCAGTTAGCCCCTTGCCATGGCAAATACTATTCATTTTTTTGTTTTTTTCACAACTTTGTTTATTTAAACAATTAATTTGGATAATATTTTCGGATAAGATTTTTGGGTTCCTACGTGTCAATACTATTCATATCGGATAAGATTTTCGGTTTCAAATTTCAGATAAATTTCAGATAAATTTCAAATTTCAGATACATTTCAAAATTCAAATTTGAGATAAATTCAAAATTTGAATTTCAGATACATTTCGAAATTCAAATTCCAGATAAATTACCAATTCCAAATTTCATTTGAATTTGAAATTTCAGATAAGATTTTCATCATCTAAAATTGCGCCACGTGTCATCTCTATCTGTCTAAATTTTTCTATAAAACCAGAGGCTCAGCTCATACCTCCCACACCATATCTTCTCTGCATCTTCATTTCTCATATTTTAGATTTCATTTCTCAGATTTTAGATTTCATTCTCCATTCTCAATGTCAGACATGGAAGATGTTTTGGATAGGCAAGAGCGAGAAAGGCGAGCAAGAATACGCAGAAGAACTACAAA